TTTGTCTGATTCTTCTCTGAATGTTTACACACATCGCTTTTTCCACACATGTCCGTCCTTGTCTTTATATTAGAGGTAGTTTTTTTACAAAGCGACAGGCAGTTTGGATATTTCTAAGCAGATTAAGCTGAGATAAGAACTACAAACTTGGGATTCAGCAACAAAACAAAGGATCTTTAATGTGTTCTGCTTCTAGTTTCTAAAGAAAACCTCTTGTTTAACCTTTTTTTGAGGTAAAACTTGACACACGTTTGTCTGATTCTTCTCTGAATGTTTACACACATCGCTTTTTCCACACATGTCCTTGTCTTTTCTGGAATAAAGGAGACAATAGATGTAGTTTTTTTACAAAGCGACGGGCAGTTTGGATATTTCTAAGCAGATTAAGCTGAGATAAGAGCTACAAACTTGGAGTTTAGCAACAAAACAAAGGATCTTTAATGTGTTCTGCTTCTGGTTTCTAAAGAAAACCTCTCGATTAACCTTTTTTTGAGGTTAAACTGGTGCGTTTCACCTTCACAACATTTGTCTGATTCTTCTCTGAATGTTTACACACGTCGCTTTTTCCACACATGTCCTTGTCCTTTTTTGTAGATATTTCTAAGCAGATTAAGCTGAGATAAGAGCTACAAACTTGGGGTTTAGCAACAAAACAAAGGATCTTTAATGTGTTTTGCTTCTGGCATCTTAAAAAAACCTCTTAATTAACCTTTTTTTGAGGTAAAACTTGACACACGTGTGTCTCTGGTGTGTTTCACCTTCAAAACATTTGTCTGATTCTTCTCTGAGTGTTTAAACACATAGCTTTTTTTCCACACGTGTCCTTGTCTATATTAGATGTAGTTTTTTTACAAAGCGATAGGCAGTTTAGATATTTCTAAGCAGATTAAGCTGAGATAAGAACTACAAACTTGGGGTTCAGCAACAAAACAAAGGATCTTTAATGTGTTCTGCTTCTGGTTTCTAAAGAAAACCTCTTAATTAACCTTTTTTTGAGGTAAAACTTGACTCTGGTGTGTTTCACCTTCAAAACATTTGTCTGATTCTTCTCTGAGTGTTTACACACATCGCTTTTTTTTGTTTTTCTGTCAAACAACAGAGTAAGATGGCCAACCCTGAGTCTGAGTAAAACAGCTTTTGGGAATAAGCAGCCGGGTGTTTAGCGTAGCGCTAATCTTCCTCACACCTGCCACGGTCATGCACAGCTATAAATACCGGGATCATCAGGATCCAGCAGGTGTCAGTGTAAGGGATCCAGTTCATTAGGAGCCAAGGAAAAGATTTACTCTACAACCTCAGTTTAATACACGAGCCTTAGTTTAGTTTTGTCCTCAACTTAATGTTTCTTTTTGCAATAACTCAGTGCAATATTGATTGATGTTTCTTTTGCAAAAACATCAATATATCTGGTTACCAGATCAAAATATGTTATGTTATGTTATCTAAGAAAAACAAGAAAATGACTCACTACCCTACAAATTTGGTTTAATTTAAAGTCTCTAATTAGGCAGCTAGTCTATATTTATGCCAAAAATACTAGATTTGTCAAAACCTATAAAGGTAATAAAGGTTATTGTGCATTATACAGTGGGGGAAATAAGTATTTGACCCCTTGCTGATTTTGCAGGTTTGCCCACTTACAAAGAATGCAACGATCTATAACTTTAATCATATGTACATTCTAACAGTGAGAGACAGAATCCCAAAGAACATTCCAGAAAATCACATCATATGAATTTATAAAAATTGATAACCATCTGATGAGGAAAAATAAGCATTCTTTGTAAGTGGGCAAATCTGCAAAATCAGCAAGGGCTCAAATACTTATTTCCCCCACTGTATATACTTCTTTACCCTGCATATAGCTAGCTCTTAGCGCTTAGTTATAGAAAACATAATTACTGTGCAGGAATAAGGTCTTAGCTCTGTTACACTGGTAGCCAAGTAATCGACATTTCGTTGTCAAAATTCACTTTGTGTTTTTTGTGCAATGACAATAAAGGAAGTCTAAGATTAAGTCCAACAAATACTAAGAGAGGCTGAAAAAGTAGTAAAAGTAGGACGTTATTGGTTTTCTGACAGTTGTTGCTATACCTTGATCTATTCAGACGTTTGAAATCATAGTAATCTCCACAAGAATGCAAGTATTCTTGATTTTGGGTTTCTAATAAAGTGTGGTACTCTCTTACATGCATTAGCATTTGGCTTCACGCTGTGAAATTTTGAAGCAAAAGTCTGAGTCTGTTTAAGAGAATAATAAATAGAAAATGTATTAAAGTGAAAACTTCATGAAGTGAGACTAACGTATCAAGCTGCCCCAAAATAAAACTAAATTATAGTACATTTTATATCCTCTGATTCTGAGAAGAGAGGTAAAATCTGTCTCCATCGTAGAGAAACCTGCACCTGTATTAAACAATCCTCCAGACAAAACATTAAGAGATAAAGTATAAGGAGACCCTCTCTGAGACCTAAAGGAGGAAGGAGTCCAATGAGAAAGAAAAATAACCTTTAATATATTCACTTGTGGAAAGTTACCAGAGAGAATAAAATAGAAAAGAAACAGAATAGAAAAGAAAATGATCATACATACCGTATATAGAATTTCCCCCACAGTCTTGTTAGAATTGGGCTATAATTACTCACGTTAGCATAGTTAGCTACAACTTAATCCATGTAAATGACTGAAAGTCTTATTCCTTTTTACATTCATATTATTCCCTTTGTAATTCTACTTTTGGGTTAAACTCTCTGGCTCCTCCTCCTCCTCTCTCTGTTACAGTAGATACTCGTCTTCAAGCTCAACATCCACACTTTCTTATCACATTCCACCTAAACCTGCATGAATTAGGACCTGGCCTGTTCCTGTCAGAGATAACTGGCCAATAACACTCGTCCTCCTGTTGGAGGCCCAGAGGAAAACTGTCCATCACACCCGGAAATCCAGGCTCTTCCAGACTGAGATCCTCCGGGAGCTTTGTCTGTGAGAGCCCAGATTTACTTTAATGTGACCAATAAATGTCAGATTTGTACTCTTGATCTGCTCTGGTTTATTCTCTGTTATTTATATTGAGGCTTCTGGAGGCTGAACCAGGTTTCAGAACCCCAGAAATCCCACAAAGTTCCAGTTCTAAACAGGCAGAACTAAACTAAACTAGACAAAAGTAAACTAAACTAAACTAAACTAGCTAACTGGCCAATAACGCTCGGTTAGGTCCAGCCACCCTCCCTTTTCGAGGCCAACAGGGAAAACTGTCCAAACACCTGGAAATTCAGGCTCTTTGCTAGCTGAGATCCTCCGGGAACTTTGTCTGTGAGAGCCCCGCTGCTTTACTCTGCTTGTGACCAATAAATGTCATATTTATACTCTTGTTCTGCTCTGGTTTATTCTCAGGCTTCCAACTAAAGAACCAAAACTAACGGTCTACAGCCTCTTCTGCTGGAACCATAAAATCATCAGTAACATGGCGACATTTCTGGCGTTTTCGTGGCTCCTTCACTGAGAGGACTTCAGTTTTCCACACGTGAACAGAGACATGGACCTGTGATGTTTTTACCGGGCTGAGCCTGGCGTTTTTGGGCGTTTTTGGGCCGTTAGCCGGTGGATGATTCTGCGTAGCGTCTGCAGCCTTGGATCCGCAGTGGAACCACAGTCCGCCGGATTTAGTTCAATATAGAAGTATTTTTTCAAAAACTTTTTTTTAAGCATTTAGGAGGCAGAAAAAAGACTGAACAAAGACACGGACAGGATTTTGTATTTTCAAAAAATCTTATTTTGTTTTGAAGTGTTTAGGAGGCAGAAATAAGACTGAATCAGACAGTGACAGGATTTAGTTCAATCTTGAATTAAAAAAAAAAAACTTTTTTTTTTAAGCATTTAGGAGGCAGAAATAAGAAAATAGGACTGAATCAGACAGGGACAGAATTTTGCTCAATATAGAAGTATTTTTTTTAAAATCTTTAAAAAAAAAAGTTTTTAGGAGGCAGAAATAAGACTGAATAAGACAGTGGCAGGATTTTGCTCAATATAGAAGTATTTTTTTTAAATCTTATATTCTTTTAAGCGTTTAGGAGGCAGAAATAAGACTGAATAAGACTGAATAAGACAGGGACAGAATTTTGTATTTTCAAAAAATCCTATTTTTTTAAGCATTTAGGAGGCAGAAACAGTAAAATAGGACCGAATAAGACTGGGACAGGATTTTGTATTTTCAAAAAATCTTATTTTTTTTAAGCGTTTAGAAGGCAGAAATAAGACTGAATAAGACAGGGACAGGATTTAGTTCAATACAGTGGCATGATTTTGCTCAATATAGAAATATTTTTAAAAAATCCTATTTTTTGAAGCATTTAGGAGGCAGAAATAAGACTGAATAAGACAGTGGTAGGATTTTGTTCAATATAGAATTTTTTTTTATTATCTTATATTCTTTTAAGCGTTTAGGAGGCAGAAATAGGACTGAATAATACTGGGACAGGATTTTGTATTTTCAAAAAATCCTATTTTTTGAAGCGTTTAGAAGGCAGAAATAAGACTGAATCATACAGGGACAGAATTTTGTATTTTCAAAAAATCCTATTTTTTGAAGCATTTAGGAGGCAGAAACAGTAAAATAGGACTGAATAAGACTGGGACAGGATTTTGTATTTTCCAAAAATCCTATTTTTTGAAGCATTTAGGAGGCAGAAATAAGACGGAATAAGACAGTGACAGGAT